CAAAATGAAGTAGAGCCAAGAAAACAATTTATGTACACCATGACTAAAACAATATAAATGGGAAGAACAACAAAACTGTCGAAACTAAATGCTGAAAAATTACAATGATCAAACTTCACCCCAAAGAAGAGGTATAAGAAGGTGCCTCTTATTCCCTCTTTTCAGATGTGTGTGGATATGGAATATGTAATATGTAATATAAGTTCCATTTTTTCAGTTTGTTAGTTTTGCTGAACTTTTTAATCTACCTTTTTAAATTTCTTGTTATAAGAGATAGATCTCTGTTTGGGGGTGGGGAGAAGGGATAACATAGTAAGTATAGGTGATATAAAAACAAGTTATTGGTAAAATGTATGTGTCTGTGTCTGTGTGTATATCATAGGGCAGCCCAATATGCACATGCCAGCATAAAATGAACTGCTGCAAATCTGCTCTTTCCCAAACCAGACATAGCTAGCACCTCTAAGGTTTATCTCTGTTGTGTAATTCTATCTGTGTTCCTCTGCCCTCACCCCTGTAGGTAACATAATGGAGAATATGAGACCTGGAGTCAGAAGATCTGGGTTCACTTCTGCCACTTAATAACTTTGACTATGGACATGTCACAACCATTGCATGACTGCTTCTCCACTTACAAAATGAGATAATTGTTTTATTTCCCTGGGATCATTTCACTTTTCATTGTTAAATCCCCAGTGCTTCCATATTGCAGGTATTTGAAAAAATATATATTAATTGAATCTGCACTACCTATTTTAAAGGGTTGTAAGGGCTAAATGAGGTAACATAAAGCATCATATAACTGTAAAGTGCTCTGTAAATGTAAACTGTTTTAGTTATCATGGAATATATGTCTTATAACACACATAGATCATCAATTATAATCTTAACCTTATTAAAATACTTCAAAAGATCTGTGATTTGGGGCAGCTAGGTGACACAGTGAATAGAACACTGGCCCTGGAGTCAGGAAGACCTGAGTTCAAAATAGGCTTCAGACACCTGATATTTACTATCTGTGTGACCCTGGGTAAGTCACTTAACCCCACTGCCTAGCAAAAAAAAAAAAAAGCCAAACAAACAAAAAAAGATCTGTGACATATATATATATATATATATATGAATCACAGTATATATATTCACATATATATTCATATATCTTCCCCCATACACCAAGTGTTCTAGGTGCATGTATTCATGTAGATACATCTACATACACACCTATCTATCTATCTGTTTTGAATCAGAGATACAAGAGAAGGAGCCAGGAACTGGCCTACAAGAAAGAGATTTTCCACAAGAGAATGCCTTGACTTACATGTCTATGTAGTATGCCCACATTAATGGAACATACATGGAGTCACATATAAGATCAGAGGATTTAAGGGTTAGGAGGAACTTTCATAGATTACCTACTTGAACTGCTTCATTTTAATTTGATTATCATATATAGCTTCTTATGAAAGATACATCATTAACTGAACCTAGTAGCCTCTTCGCTAGAAATACATTCAGTTAGAACACACTCACCAGTGCTCTAAGTGGGTAGAGTATTTATTTGTTTACTATGTGCCAAGTACTATATGTGCGGCAGATAAAGATACAAATGATGGCCCCTCCTCTGCTCTCAGTGGTCGCTCATCCTGCAGTTCCTCATAGCTCTCAGCAGGCATTGCCAAGCATTGTTCTGCATTACCGCCCCTTCCTCCAGGTAAAACAAAAAGCAAGAACAAAGTCCTTACTACATTTCAGCACAGGCTTAAACAAGAGAGGAAGACCACTAGAATTTTCTCTGCTTGGCAGGAAACACCATTCTCCCAGTACCATAGTGTGTGATGCCAGACTAAGGACTTCCTCACACTAAGGCTATTCTCCCTTTGCCATCATTCTGGGCAACCTCTGGCCTAATGTCTACTGGTTTTCCTGGTTTGTTACATGGTTCTCTCCTTATTCCTTTCCTATGAACTAACTGTTTCTTTTCAGCCTTCTTTGCTGAACCTTCATACCTGTCCCTTTCCCTAACTGTGGACTTCCCCCAAGTCTTTGTCCTGAGCCCTCTTCTCTCTAGTCTTCACAATCTCTCTGTGATCTCATAGGCTCTCATAAGTTCAATTGCCTTTACAAAGATGATTCTCAAATCTATATATCCAGCCCTAACTCTTCCTTAAACTCCAGTCATACATCTATCACTGGCTGCCCGCTACTGAATATCTCTATCTTAATGTCCCAAAGGCATCTCAAACTCAGCCTGTCTAAAAAAAGAATTACTCATTATAATTTTTCATTATTCCCTCTGTCCCATAAATCTGCCCCTTCTCTAAACTTCAATGTTTCTATTGAAAGTGTCACCATCCTTCTAGTTATCTAGGTTCACAATCTTAGAATCACCCTTTCTCTTTCCTCAACCCCTACTATAGTCAATCAATTGCCAAGTTTTCTTGAATTGTAGATCAAGTTCAAGATTTTAAATTCAATAAGCACTCCCAGACCATGAAATCCAATTAAAAAACATTTTACTGTTTAAAAGTCAAAAGAATACACTTAAAAAACATAAATTAAGAATAAAATACTACTCACCCCTTCCTACAATCATCAACACAATCAGGAAATCAAAAACATTAAAGTGAAATTTGATTTAATTTGTCTTTTTATTTCAATAGGCAGAACCTTGCCCTCTTCTTCAAGGGCCTGTCTAATTCCCCTGTGGCTAGTATATGAAGAGCTAGGTGGAGTAGCCAGGGAGAAAGGACAAGAGAAGTAAAGGAGTATTGATAAAAAGGAACTTGCAGGGAAGGTGGTTACACTCAGAAATTTGGAGACAGCCCAGTGATTCCTGCCAGCAACTACCATCCAGTGCCCCACTTGCTGTCTGCATACCTCCTACCTCATGAATATATCTCTACATTCCTCATATCTATGTCTTTCATTTTACTCACACAAAGTTCAGGCCTACATCTTGATGGGACTATTGCCAAAAGCTTTCAATTGGTCTCCTTGTTACCTATTACATCATTCTCTAATCCATTCCTCACACAGTTGTCAAAGCCTTCTTATAGCAGTGTGAACATCACTTCCATGCTCAAGAATCTTCAATGGCTCCCTATTGCCTCTGGAATAAAATATAAATTCAGCCTGGCATTTGAATGCCTCTCACACTTCGGATCACCCTTATTCTTCTATACTTACTTCATTCTACTCCCTTTCACTCTGTACTTGCTAACCTGGCCTACCTGCTGTTCCCCAAATTCAGAATTGCATCCTCTGCTTGGTGCCCTTTGCACAGATGGCATTCCATTCCCAGAATGCACTTGCTCCTTATCTCTGCCTCTTAGGATCTTTAGTTTTCACCAAGGTTCTGTTCAGATATCACCACTCATAAGAAGCCTTTCACAATTCTCCTAGTAATTAGTCTCCTCTCCTGCCCAAATTATCTATTTACTTAGATGTTTTATTCCTCAGTAGAATATAAACTTTCTAAATAAAGTACTAATGAGCTGCCTAAACTAAACTAAAACTAATAAAGTTTGCCCTTTTTGTCTGGGAATCCCAAAGCCTAACATATTGCTCACACTAGGCACTTTAATACATGCTTGTTTAATTGAATTGGTCTTATAAAAGCTTACCTAGGGAGCATATTTCCTATGATTCACTAACTTTAAGAGAATCTCTGGCACCAACTTCAGATCAAATAAAGTGACTACAAATTATGATGTGCTTTCTCCTTTTGATACATTTAATCTGAAGAAAACCTGATTCTTAAACTACCCTATAAATCACCTCAATTGGTATTGCATAATTTCTTAATAATCAAGCATTTATTAAGCATTTATGTACCAGGTACTAGGAATAGAAAGGCAAAAAGCTCATCTTCAAGAACCTTCTATTTTTGAGAGGGAGATAATATGTCACATTATATACAAAATAAATGTGATAATGAGGCCAGCATTTAGTGCCTGGGGGACAAAAGGAGGGAATCAGAAAAGCTAAAAGTAGGTAAACTAAGCCTTGAACAAAACTAGAGATTCTAAGAGATGGATATGTGGAGGGGAGTGTACTCTTTAAGTATAAAGGACAGCTAAGCTAAAAAAAAAGGCTAAGAGCCAGGGAAATAGTGTTGAGTGTGAGGCACACCAAGTCGGTCAGAAAGACCAGAATACATGAAGGAGAGAAATGTATTAAAAGGCTGCAAAAGTAGGTTAGGGGGCAGGTTGTAAAAGGCTTTAGTTATTAAAGAGTTCGTATTTTGTTTTAGAGATAATAGGGAACCCTCAGGGTATAATGAAGACTATGTAGCAGGCTATCATAATTATAATAGCCCAGGTCCAATGTGGTAAGAAATTTGGACTACAGCTGTAGCCCTGTGAGTTGAGAAAAGGGGAGAGATGTGAAACATGTTGCAAACACCTTGGTAGGCTAGGCAAACGACTAAGTATACGGGGTGAGGAGTTAAACACATCTCTGAGACTGAGAATCTGGGCAACTAGAAAGACTAAGCGTGTAGACAGTATTATTCCTATATGGCAAGACTTTAAACAACTCCTACTAGTTATGGAATCTATCTAGGGGTAAGGGTGGGAAGGCAAATGTGCTCCTCCAAGTCCTTCAGCACATGAATTCCCTCTGGAATATCTTTTATTTAGAGAGACAGGGAAGGGGTAAAAGATTCAGGATAAACTAGCTACATTTTACTATGAGTACATGTGAAAATTCAAATTACTGTACAAGGTGCTGTGGGTGAGGTACAAGTTGAGAAATGTTCTCTTATCACTAAACAACCTGATGGACGATTTTGATCACTATAGAATTTAAGGAGAAAAGCTGAAGAGTGAGTTTCCCTATCTTATTCCATTCAGAGAGAGAGAGAGAGAGAGTGTGTGTGTGTGTGTGTGTGTGTGTGAGAGAGAGAGAAAGGGAGGAGAGGAGGGACAAGGGTCAAGATTTGGGGCTGAGAGCGGATGGCAGCTCATCTGAGTGCAGACCGGTGTTTAAAGCTCCGGCCTCTCCCGGATGGCCTGAGGCAGGGATCGAGGAGGAGTCTGCGGGTTTCTATCAGTCAGCAAATACGAAAAGGGAACAGCCCAGCACTGAACAGGGTAACTTCGAGTCAATAAGTATTTACTTTATTAAGTGCCTTCTACCTACGTACAAGCCAGTCGGCCTAGACCCTTTCTTTCCCCAAAGTCTCGTGCAGTGAAAACAGCTTTGAAGTCAGAGGACCTGGGCTCCAATCCAGCCTCCGCCACCGCCTGTGGGACCTCGGAAAAGTCACTCGACCTCTCTGGGCCTTCTCTCTGGTTTCTTCATCTGTACAAAAAGGCTGGGTTAACCAGAGGGCGCCGAAAGCCCAGTCTCGCTCAAAATTTATGACACCGCGACCTACCCGGACCGGTCACAAAACTCCCTCCAGGAAAAGAAAGGAAGCCAAAAGCAGCTGCACAGCGCGCCCACAAAAGGTAGCTTCCTCAACCGCGTTCCTCGACCCGAAACGCCCACCCCACCCAACGCCCGGACCCCTGGGCGGCCCCGCCCCCTCCGCGCGCAGCCCCCCACCCCCGCGCTCCCCCGCCCCCTCTGCGCGCATCACACCCTCCCTCAGGCAGCCTCTCCCTCCCCCTACGCGCGCAGCCCTCCGCACAGGTAGGCCCCCCCGCAGCCCCCCGCCCCCCCGGCGCAGCCTCCACCCGGGCTCCCCCGCTCCCTCCGCGCGCAGCACCCCCCTCCCTCAGGCAGCCTCCCCCGCCCCCTAGGCGCGCAGCCCCTCCCCACAGGTAGGCCTCCCCGCCTCCCCGGGCTCGCGCGCCCGTGATTGGTACCGGGGCCGCTCCGGCCCGCGTGCAGCCTCGGCTGGGGTTTTTAAGTTTCCGTTGCCCGGCGACGGCGGCTTGTTGTTGAGCCTTGGGCCGCCACACCGGTTTTTCCTGCGTTCGCGCCTTGCTCCTCGACCCTGCACACCGCTCGGCCGCCTTCAGCCTCCCAGCTACCCCAGGCCGGGACTACAGTCGGCCGCCCCCACCCCCAGCCTCGCCGCCTCGCCCGGACGGACGCCCAGTGCAGAGCCCGAGTGTGGTGGGTGAAAGGTGCGAGGAAGAAGTGGGCTGACCAGGGGGCGGGACGCGGCCTCAGGGCCCAGGGGTCGGGGGACGCGGGGTGAGCTTGCTGGGCTGGAGAGCGAAGGAGGGGAAATGAGTTTTGGGGACCGCTCCTCCCCTCCCCCCAGATCAGCCCGCGCCCGGAGCTGGGGTTGGCCTTGGTGTCATTCACTTGCTCAGCGAAGTATCTGTGGGCGCTGACTTGCACGGACTTGCACGAGCTGCATCCTGTTGGAAGCAAAAACCCGGATCCTTTTCTAGCCTTTAATGCATCGGTCAGAAGAATTGTGCCCGATTTCTTACCTTAGTAAACTAATTATCCGAATTAATTGTGATTCTCTTAGTAAAATAACACTATTCTCTAGTAAGATAATTATAAGAATGAAGTGTTAATTCTGTTCTTTTACAAACAATGCCTACAGATCTCCAAAATGAGAAACACAAGCAAGGACCTTACTCTACCTACCAGTCGCTATGCCCCTTGTGGTAAGTATGGCCGTTTAATCTTTGTAATAATTTCCAAGGAGAAAGTTATAGATTGGATCCCAGATTTCCCAACCTAACCCACCTGTAGCTCAAAATTATTTCCTTCTGAAATTGTAGTTATCACACATTTTCAGAAAAAAAAATCCTCTTAAAGAGACTGTGGACATTTTCTTTATCTCAGTACTTATACAGATGAGAAATGAAAAAGGAAATTAAGCATATTTTAAACAGTTGTCTTATTCTAACAAAAGAAGAGCAAGGTCAAAGTACGGTAGTACATCAAAGTTGTTTACTAGATCCGCTAAAGTGTCTTTGATTTTTTTTTCCCCCAAAGGGAACCGTACCTCTAGAGCTGGAAAGGTCCTTAGAGATAATATAGCACAACCTCCCCATTTTTCAGCTGAGAAAACCGAGGGCCAGAGAGATTAATCCACTCTCTGGTAATAAAGTACTACCTTACAACACAGATAGTGTAAACTCAACTTCTGTGACTCCAGTCTTGGTTATACCATGCAGCCTTCTTATCATTTAATCTATTTCTGTTTATGTCCTATTTCTATTTATGTCCTACTCCATGTTTATATGAGAATAGCTCACATTTATGTATAATTTTACAATTTACAAAGTGCTTTTCTCACGACTACCTTGTAAAATTGGGAGTACAAGTAGTAGTATCCTCATTTTACAGAGGAAACTGAGCCCCAAAGAAGTTTAATTGGCCAGTGGTCTCACAGAATAGCTGAAATTATTGGAATAATGGACAATTATATAGTACTTTAAAGTTTTCAAAATGCATTACATACTTCACATGAACCTCATAACAACCCTGTGAGGAGTTATATATCACAAGCATTTTCTAAGCCCCTTTTATGTAGTAGACACTATTCTAAGTGATAGAGAAGCAGAGAAAGGTAAAAGACAGTCCCTGCTCTTAAAAAGCTTAGGTATTATCTTCATTTTATAGATGGAGAAACGAAAGTTCATGGAGGTAAATGAAATTGCCTGTGCTCACATAGAACAGTTGAAGTCAGGAACTTACTTAATGATTGTCCATTCTAACAATTGTTGGACTTAAAGTGATGGTTGATACCTATTATTTCTAATGGAGTTGAGGGTTGGGAGTGGGGAGAGAAGTGAGATGGTTTTCTTTACTGTTTTCCCCAACTCTTAACTACTACTCTCACTTCTAATAGAGAGGAGAAAGAGAAAAAATAAGGGAAAGACTGACTGGAAGTAGAGGAAAGGAAATTGGACAAAGAGGAAGAAGTGATAGAGGAATGATAGAATGCATTCTGGAACGGTTTTCTTTGGCTGTCTTGCATCTATCTATCCCTTGTTTTCCTATGTCCTGGCACTATACTAGTTCAGGCCCTTGGTACTTCATGCAATCAAACCTGAAAGAGACCTTAAAGTCAGTCTCACTTTATGAATGAAAAAATTGAGACCCAGACAAAGTAGGTGATTTATCCAGTAAGTCAAAGAGAGGCGAGCCCTGGAACTCAAGTCATCTGACTCACAGGCTGGTGCTAGTCTGTGTTGCCACCACCAGCCCTAGATTACTGCAAGATCTTCTAGTTTCTCCTTAATGCAATACATCTTTTCTGAAGGGGGAGGAAGAGCAGCTTCAGAAAAATAGCAGATTCTTTTTTTAAAATAACCAAATGTATCAGAATTTTTTTTACCCAGACTTGAGATTTTATTAGTATATGGAGCTCCCAGTGATGAAATTCTCACTACTAATTCAGATTGGCACCTGCTCTTTGGTTTATATATTCTAGAGAGGTAAAATAATTTGCCCAAGATCACATAGCCAATATATGTCAGAAGTGGAACTCAATTCAGATCTTCCTGAATCTGAAAGAAGTTCTATCCACTGTGCTGTACTAGCTCCCATGTACCTTGTGGCAAATTAATGGTTCTGAGGAAAAGCTCTGATATTGTTAATTTCAGAATTCTTTGAGTTTCTCATCTCTACTAGATAAAATCAAAATTGCCTAGCCCAGAATTCTTAGCCACAGCCTCTGTGCCCTGACCCCAGACTGCCTTTCTGAGGCTGTTTCCCAGTTTTACCCTAATCTTATCCAGTGTTAAAGCCAAGTTACACTACTCACTATTACACTCTTCCTCCTCATCCCCTAGCAGCCAGTATCTTCTGACTTTTGTGACTTTGCACCTACCTTAACTGCCACCAGGAATATCCTCCTCTGGCATTTTTGTCTGCTAAAATCTTAGTCGTCTTTGAAGGCTTACCTTCAGTACCATCAGCTTATCTGTGTGTATCCACCCCATGCTTCATCTTAAAAAAAAAAAAAAAAAAAGGCAAGAATGCAGTTTCTCCCTTTCTCTTCCCTATAGCACTTTTTGCCTCTCTTTTGGTGGTTATCATTTTCTGCCTGGTATTATAGTTTTTTATGTATGAACTTGTCTTATTCCACTACCAGATTATAAATTTCTAGAAGGTTGTGTATCTTCTTTGTCTTTATTAAAAAGACCCAGCAGAATAACTTGTACATAATAGTTTTTCAACACATTTATTGAATTATCAAATTAGAAATAAAGAAAATGAAATATATTCAATTTCTCATCAAATTCTTATTATAACTATTATAAATGATACTATAATAATGGTAGAAGACAAAATCTGAGTGATTACAATTGAGTGCAAAGAACGCTGAACCAGGTTTCAGGACACTTGGATGCTAGTGCCACCTAGACCTGGCCTCACCTTTCGAAGGTCTTTTAATCTCTCTGGGCCTTCTCTGTAAAATAGGAAAAATGTTACTTTCACTGTGTGAAGACACATGCATCAAGAGGCCATGCCACTTTGATTCTAGTGCTCTGAGACCCTGCATGACCTTGGGCAATGCACTTAACTTCTCTTGCCTTAAATTCCTCAGTTGTAAAATAAGGGGGTTAGGCTACCTAATGTCTAAGGATACTTCCAGCTCCAGAGCTATGATTTCTCTGAAAAAAAAATCTAAGAAATCTTTGACCCAACAAGCAACTTTTAGTAGCCTACTGTAATTTTAGATGACTTCACTTTTTAAAATATTGTACAAAATTTGTTGACTTCCCTTTTCAAGACCCTAGATGCTGTGATTATATAAAATTTGATTAAATAGCTTAAGAAATTGTGCTTAATAAATGTTTCTTAAATTAATAAAGAACATTTAGCAAATGGGTAATGGATAGATATTTTACTTATTGTGTTCAGTAATAGTGGTGAATAATTTAGAGAGGTTGTCCCAAAAGCTTTTGCATTTTTAAGCTTTAATAGTCACTGAATATATCATTGTATGTATGACTAAATACATATAATTAGTAAATACGTTACATTATATGTATTATCTCAACCATACTCTTGTAGTGCCCCTTGTGGTCAATGGGACTTAAAACAGGTTTCAAGGTACAGGTGGTTGGTGAAAAAAAGTAATGCCTCTAATGAAATCCTTGCTCCAGGTCTAATTAGTATGGTGTTCATGAGCTAGCTGTTTTCTACACTTGAAATTGATTTCTTCTTTTGTTTTTAAGAATCATATAAATTGGGAGGAAGGAGGAGAAGGCTTGAACTTTCTAGAATTGGTTTTATTGATCTCTTCTGGAATTATCTCTTTTTTTGGAATAAGTTTCTCATCTCACCAGAAAAATCTTTCTTGACTAGTTAGGTTCTTCCCTCCAAACTACATTATTCTTGTCTTAAATGTTTGTAGTACACATATTGTCCAGTTTGAGAGTGAACGTTAACCACTGCAGTAAAATACTTTTCTATAATGAAAAGATAGATGGGAACTTTCTTTCCTCTTTTGATCAGTTATCAATCAACATAGAATAAGTTCTTATTGATTGATTAAGCACTTATGTGTTAAGTGTGTCCTAGGTTCTGGGGGTATGAATACCAAAAAAAAAAAAAAATGAAACATTCTTTGCTCTCTAGCTTACAACAATATACTCAACGAGTGGTCTTCCAGCTTTTGCATGAAGACCTCCAATGAGGACTGTATCTCCCAAGGCAGCCTAATACAATTTTGAAGACCTTTAATTGTTAGAAGCCTTCTCTTTACACAAGAAAATTAAAATTTCTTCTTTATAATTTCCACCCATTATTTGTAGTTCTAACCTCTGGGATCAAACAAAACAAGTATACTCTCTCTTTGAGTTGACAGTTCTTCAAATATGATAAATACTTCCAGAAAACTCTCACTTTCCCCTTAAGTTTCCTCATGGAAAACCAATAGTCTGTTGCATCTCCCAACACGTACTGCAATCCAGAAACTACCTTCATTTTAATTCTTAACTTTATTCCCTTTGTCCCTTCTTCCTTCTTTCCCTATCCCCACTAATCCCTCCAATTACCACACTCCAACCCAAAGAAAAAGAGTGAAAGCATCCCTCAGCCACATCTACCATTTCTTTTCAAATCTCTGAGTTTTAACGTGTTGAATTCAAGTAATTCAGTTAACAAGTATTTATTATGTACCTACGACAAGCGAAACACTCTGCTAGGTACTGGGGATAGATGCACAAAGGAAAACAATCACTAACTACAGGGAGCTTACCTTCTAATGAGAGAGAAAATGAATACAAATAAATATATCCAAAATAATTATAATTAATAATAATAATAGCTAACATTTATATAGTACATATTACATACCAGGCATTGTGCTAAGAGTTTTTACAATTATTGTCTCATTTGGTCCTCACAAAAACCCTGGGTGATAGGTGCTTTTATTATCCCCATTTTATGGTTGAGGAAACTAAGGCAGACAGAGGTAAGATTTGCCCAGGCCCACACAGCTAGGATGTGTCTAAGGCTGGATTTGACCACTGTGCCACCTAGCTGCTTCCAGGAACAGACCTTAGACAATTGTTTTGCTTTACCTTATTTTACAAATTAGAAAACTGAGGCCTAGAGAGTAAAAGGTGGTTTGTCCATTTGATCTTGGTCTTGAACTAATAGTAGGATTTTAGAAGGTAAAAATATTGAGGGGAGGATATTCTGGTCAGGAAATAGCCTGAGAAAAGGCAGAAAATTTAGGGACGTCTTGTATCAGCATATAGTCCTATTTTGGCTAAAACATAAGGTACTTATAGAGGAATAGGAAGAGATACTAAGGCTATTAATTCTGTTTTAGTATTTTCCATTTAAATGTCCTTAAAATAGAAGTTTTTCAAATCTCAGTCAGATGGCCTATAGACCCAAATCTTCTCTGGGTTTAAGTACATATTAAGTAATTGAAAGAAACCTTAAAGATCATCATAATGCTTTTAGTTATGTGCTGTTATAAGATAAGACAATGTTTTTTAGGGATGTATCCCATATTTAACTTGTGGTTCACTTATATTCTTACTTTTATAGAAGAGAATAATGAGGCATAGAAAAATTTGACAACACGTCTGCCTGGAGGAATCAAAATTATAATAAATTTTTTTTTTTTTTGGTGAGGCAATCAGGGTTAAGTGACTTGTCCAGGGTCACACAGCTACTAAATGTCAAGTGTCTGAGGCCACATTTGAACTCAGGTCCTCCTGACTCCAAGGCTGGAACTCTATCCACTGTGCCACCTAGCTATCCCCAAAATAATAATTTTTAAAGAACCTTAAAATTCACATGGTAGAAAATGAGTTGGGAGAAGGGAAGTACTTGAAGCTTTTTATTGGATGTGATTTATTTAAGTATCACAGTCAACATCATAGTAGGTTTTAGAAACATTAGAACTAGTAGTTCTACAAGATCTGCTTTGTAGCTTTTCATTTCTTTTGTTTTTTTAATTCAGGCAAACAGACATTAAATATCTACTGTTTGTAAGAGATTATGCTAGGCATTAGGAATATAAATTGAAAGATGATACTTCCTTTCTCTAATGTGGTGTATCAAATAGGAATTCACAAACTATTGTATAAATTAGAACAAGAATAAATATGTAAGAGAAGTAAGGCAATCTCATGTGAGGTTAGCACCTACCAGATGTTATCTCAGAGACAATCTAGTACATTGTATAAACAAATATGAAACTAATTCGTAGATGCCAATAATTACATTTAAGTCTAATTTCAGTATTTTATTTCTAGATTGGTATTACCATCTTCCATTGAAAAGATCTGAGAAGTCCTCAGAAACTGCACTTCCTCCAACATCCCAGATTCCAGGCCTGAGTGAACTTGCAGAGCCACATAATGAGATTACGTTTGGCTCCCGAAGAAATTGGATAAAAGACACTGACTCGGAATACGTCAAACTTGCGAAACAAGGCGGCAGACCTGGTAAATAAGTTATTTCTTTTTGGAGATGTTATTTTTTATGAATTGTGATAAGGAGGCTTAATAAAAGGGGAAATTTTGTTTTTAGTTAGTTTCTTTAATATAAATGTTTGCATCTGTTAAAAAGTTTTATTTTATATTTTTGAGAGGTAGTACAGAGCATCAGGGATGCTCTCAGAACCATATTGATTGTCTTGAGAACCAATTGAAGTTTAGTATCTCTTTTATGGGATAGCATGGCATAGATACAGCATCTAAAAGACCTGGGTTCAAATTTCACTTCTGATACTAGGTGTATGACCTTAGGTAAGGTATATGTTCCCCAGGCAATTCCCTAGGACTAATTTTTTTTTTTTTAAAGGCAATTGGAGTTAAGTGACTTGCCCAGGGTCACACAGCTAGTGTCAAGTGTTTGGTCTGAGGCCAGATTTGAACTCAGGTCCTCCTGACGTCAGGGCCCATACTCTATCCAACTGCGCCATCTAGCTGCCCCCCCTTTTTAAAAACATTTTTATTTAAAGTTTTGAGTTCCAAATTCTCTCTCTCCCTTCCCTCCCACCTCCCTGAGATGGTAAGCAATCAGATATAGGTTATACATGTGCAATTATGTAAAACATTTCCATATTAATCATTTTGTACAAGAAGACTCCAATAAAAGAAAAAAATAATGAAAGAAAGAAAGTAAAAAACAACATGCTTCAGTCTTTATTCAAACAATTTCATTTCTTTCTCTGGAGGCAGATAGTGTGCTTCATCATTAGTCTTTTAGGATGTCTTGGATCTTTGTATTTCTGAGAATAGCTAAGTCATTCACAGTTCTTCATTGAACAGTGTTGCTATTACTGTGTACAATGTTATCCTGGTTCTGTTCACTTCACTGTGTATCACTTTATATAAGTCTTTTCAGGTTTTTCTGAAATCATACTGCTTGTCATTTCTTCCCCCCCCCCCGGCAGTTGGGGTTAAGTGATTTGCCCAGGGTCACACAGCTAGTAAGTGTCAAGTGTTTGGTCTGAGGCCAAATTTCAATTCAGATCCTTCTGACTTTAGGGCAGGTGCTCTATCCACTGCACTACCTAGCTGCCCCCTTGTCGTTTCTTATAGCACAATAATATTCCATTAAAATCATATACCACAGCTTGTTTGGGGAGCCAGTGGGGTTTATTGAATTGGGGGGAGGGGGTGTGACATAGGAAGATTATTTTGACATCTGAGTGGAGCACAGACTGGAGTGGGAGAGACTTGTGACAGGGAGCCCAGCCAGTATAGTAGTAATGATAGAATTCTACAACTGATTAGATATGGGAGGTGGGGTGAGAAAGTAAGGAGGGGTCAAGGATGACACCTAAGTTTTGAGAATGAGTGACTGGGAGGATAGTGGTCCCCCAGTCATAGCAAAGTTAAAAGAGGGAGGGTTTGGAAGGAAAGGTTTTTGACATTTCAGTTTTTTATATTCTTAACTTTAAGATGTCCTTTTGTCTACTTAGTTTAAGTATTAAGACTATATTTGGGGGCAGCTAGGTGGCGCAGTGGATAGAGCACCAGCCCTGGAGTCTTGAGTTCAACTTTGGCCTCAGACACTTACTAGCTGTATGACCTTGGGCAAGTCACTTAACCCCAATTGCCTTAAAAAAAACCAAAACTGTAATTGGGAATAATGAAAAAATAAAAATACAATAAGACTACATTTGCTCACAAAAGGAGTTTGATAAAGAATTTTCCTTCTTAATTTCTTAGATTATTTTATTTAGTAAAAGTATTAATTATTCTTTAAAAGTTTATTAGAATTCAAATATAAATTCATCTGGACCAGGGTTTGTTTGGTTTTGTTTTTTTTTTCTTTTCTAGTTCTTTATAACTAGCTTGATATTTTTCTGAACTTTAAGCGCTCTATTTTATTTACTGGTAATTTGAGAATTTTTGTAGCATTTCTTTTACATTCTCAGTTTTGTTAGCATATAATTTGTATATAGTTTGTTCAGATGAGTTTTATTTCTTCAGAAAAGCAAAATTAATAAATCTTCACAAAAAAATTAACTCATTACTTGAAGTGAACTATTTGAATAAACAATCTTAAACTTCTCTTTAAAATTTGTAGGTTTGCTTCTTTTTTTCAACCAATTTCCTAACCATTATAGTAAAGTTTGCAATAATTTCTACTTCTGATTATTACTTGGTGAACTTCATAAGAATAATCTGCCTGAACTGCCAAAATGTTTCTGGACTTTTACAAACTTCACCAGTAAATACTATAATCATTAGTCTCTCTACTTTGCAGACAGTTTTAATAGGATCATGTATTGACAGCTGCAGGGAACCATGCAAGTTATGCAGATGAGTAAACCAAGCCCCATAGAGTTGAAGTAACGTCCCTAAAGTGACACAGGTGATAACTGTCAGCTGAAATTTGAACCCAATCGTGTTTTGCTTTCGTATCATTTTCCTCAAGTTTTTTTGGACTATATGTGCTGGTAATTAGGCAAGATACCAGCTATTGGGTGCTATTTCAGGGATGAATATAACAACCATGAAACCTAAATGTGCTTGGTTTAGCCAAAGACTAAAGATCATCATACTGTTTTATAACTAGACATTGTGACTCACAGGGCTAGAGGAAAGTTTCTGAAATCTGTTTTGGGTAGCATTATGTTATTATTTTTTATTTCATTGCATTTTCATTCAGGGATTATTTTGTGAGAAGTTTTCAAGGAAAATTAATTACATGTAAAGTAGTTTGAACCTCTACTTTCTCACCAACTTTAAATGGCCTGATATTTACTAAATTCTTTGAAATAAATTCTGCTATTAACTACTTTCAGTTTCTTGTATAAAGGTTTTCACCAGGTTTTCTTTTAAATCATCCCAGCTTTTGATTTAACTTTTTCAGATTTGGCTCTGAACATGATGTGGTTAAAAGACATGAACTTTTTTGAGATTTCTTGGAACTGGCCCCTAGGTGGCATATTGGATACAGTGTTGGCCCTCTTGTCAGGAAGGAAACGCTAAATCCACATTCTACCTCAGATATTATATCAGCTGTGTGACCTGGGCAAGTCACTTAATATTTATCTGCCTCAGCTTCCTCATCTATAAAATGGGGATAATAATAGCACATACCTTACATTTTTTTTTATAAAGGATCAAATGGGATAACTGTAAAGCACTGTATAAATGCTAAAGGTTATCTTGAAGTTGCTTCATCATTAATTACATGTAGTACTTAGTGTTTACGCTTCACTGAAAATTACAGATAGCCTCTAATCACTTTTAATTCACTCTTCACCTTACAGAGAACAGTATACAACTTTGAAGTTTTCTCTTTGCCTTCCTAAACGTACATCTTTGTTTATTTGTATTCAGTCCAGAATAGTATCACTTATTTTTGCTGTTAGGAAATTTGCTTTGATTCAGCAAAATTCTGAACACCACTCCCAAATGCTGTGTTTAGTTGTGAAGCAATTACCTTCAGGCCTTGTTGGTCAGTCAATAAGAACTTATTGCCTACCTGCTATGTGCCTGCCACTGTTCCACTTGCTGGTGATATAACGGCAAAAATGAAGCCCTTCCTGCCCTCAAAGAACTTATACTCTCCTGAGGCAGCCACGTACCCACAAATATGCAAAAGAAATTTATGATAATTTGGTTGTAGAGAATAGCAACTGGAGGTTCAGGAAAGGCTTTATATAGGGAGTAGTACTTGAGCTGTTTTGAAAGGAACTAGGAATTCTCGGAAGCAAAACTAAGAGCAAGTGCATTCTAGGCTTGAGGGGCAGCCCTTGCAAAGGTTAGTAAGAAATGGACATTACGCAGAGGAACAGCCAGGAGGCCCATTTGGTTGAACCGTAGAGTATTTTGCTGAGCAATGGGGCAGGAAATATATAATGATTGTGGAAACATAGGTTAGAGTGAGGCTTTTCAATGCCAAACAGAGTGGTTTCAGATTTTTCCCTAGACATTTATCTTGGCTGTGTAACCTTGGGCAAATCACAACCCTCTTCACTTAAATTTCCTCATCTGCAAAATAAGGGGCTGGACTCTAAAGTCCCCTCCAGCTCTGAATCTGTGGTCTTGTTTGATCCAAGAGGTGATAAAGAACAACTGGAGTTTATTCAGTAGGGGAGTGGCCTTTGTTTAGGTAAAATAGGTAAGTAAGTTTTAAAAGCTGACCAGTTTTAATGAACTCTGATATATTTTTGTTTACTTAAAATGTAATTATCCAGTTAAGATCTTAGAACAATCGGTTCTGAATGTAAGTATCAAGAGAAGAAAATTATAGTAACTCAGTCTGCTTTTTGTATAAATATTTTGGAAACTAGCTATATGTTTATGTTGGAAATCAAGTAATAGCCTATTTGGTAACAATTGTTAAAAGACTACAGGTGTATTTTAGAAAAACAGATGAATTTTATCTCTAAAATTTGACCTTTGCCTATCCAAGGTCTTATGTCTTCAGTAACATAGTAGGTGTCAGTGTTATCTACAGAACATTTTAATGATAAACAGCAGTAAAAGAACAACCATTAATTTCAGTTTAGTTTTCAATGGTTACAGCCATACCTGGTAGGTAGCCATATATGTTTATAATAACTGCCCCTTGGCAATGAAGAAACTTAAATCATATCTTAATCTTTAACTTAAGATTTATTGAAACATTATGCCTCTGGTTCAAGAAAAGGATCTCCTGTTGCATATTCTATGCCTGAATGGTATACTCATCACAGTAAACCACCAACTGCTGAACAGAAAGAGTAAGTGTGCTTGAATTCATCTTAAATTTTTGCTTACCCATATGAGGGAGGAAAAAGTTTTCTTTAACCCCATTTTAATTCAAAGGCAAAATAAGCCAATGCATTCACCATGACTATCAAATTAAATATGATTCTGAAACATTTTGTACGGAAGAAGTTATTGCTGAGATGCATCAGAACTGATCAAATACAGCCCTGGAGTTCAGGAGCTTCCGTGTGTTCTAGCATTCTGCCACTGAAGAGGTATTAATTCAGTGCTTCATATTCTCTGTGTAGAATGACGCCTTTACCTATCTTACATTTCTTGAAATAAATGATAGCCTATATTAAAGTTATCTGGCTGCCTTAGTGAAAAGGGTATTGTGTAAATCCAAGATATTCTCAAACTTGATATAGGTCATTTATTTATACATGTTATTTGCCAAATCCTTTTGGTTTCCTGAACATTCTACCCACGCACCAAGTCCCTCCTGCCTAAGGTACTTCTAATTTTCATCTATCAGTTTTCCTTCAAGTGGCACACTTTGTTTTATCTCCTGGAGGCTCATCCCATATCCAAAAGCTAGGTGATGGAAAGAACATAGTCCACACATTTGCACAAGACAAGGAAGGGGAGAGTGGACTTCAAGTGCTGGAGGCAGGAAAGGAGAATAGGATAAGAGGGGAGACATTCATAGAGAGAAAATAGCATTTTTGAACTTTTATTTGAAATTATTAAATCCTTTCTTCTCTCTGCAGAATACATGTATCTTCCATGCCAGAGTATATGGTTTATGAAGAGTTTAACCCTGATCAGGCCAATGGTAACTATGAATCCAAAAGGGGGCCTTTTGATTTTGATATGAAAACAGTTTGGCAGAGGGAAGCTGAGGAGCATGAAAAGGAGAAAAAAAAGGTGACTCCATCGCGAGCTGGGAGTTCGTTGTTCCTGTGCGCTTCAGAAACTATATTAGGAGCTTCAAATGTCACTTCAATGTTATTTAATTTTTTAATATTCTGTATTAATTCAACAAACATATAGAAGTATCCACCATGTGCTACCAACTGTGCTCCATACTGGATATGCAGGGCCCAGAAAGAAGGTAGTCCCTCTGCGCCTGCAAGAATTTCACTTTCGGGGCAGCTAGGTGGTGGAGTGGATAGAGCACCGGCCCTGAAGTCAGGAGGACCTGAGTTCAAATCTGGCCTCAGACCAAACACTTGATACTTACTAGCTGTGTGACCCTAGGCAAGTCACTTAACCCCAACTGCCTCACTAAAAAAAAAAAAAAGAAGAAGAATTTCACTTTCTACTGGAATGTGGATTGTGTATTTTACTAAAGTTTAAATATTTTGGTGAATTTCAAACTCATAATCATGTGCCTCTTTAAAATTTCTTTTGCTTTCTCCAGGCAGGTAACTTCCTTTGCTCCACCCAAAATGCATCTACTTTTATAATACTTTCAACTAACCAAAAGTTGATCTAGGGAGGACAAAGTGATATAATGTTTGTATTTATCTATTTAGCACAAAAAAAATGATAAAAAGGGAAAAAAAAGTTTCTCTTCCAGCTGTTAATGTAATAGATCTTCATCATTCACAAAGGTTAGTTCCTAAAGATGTAAGTCCTGTTGATAACAGGATAACTGGAGAATAAGGCAGCCCTTAGGTCCAAAATTTTGCCTTTCATTTGCCCATTAATTAAAAGCCCCATTAAATTAATTTAAGCTAAGATGTAACTGAGGCTTAACTCTCTTGAGTATTTTGCAGGAAAAACTTATTAATACAAGTCCATTTTTAACTAGTAGAATTTGTGGGTTTCATTCTGTCACTGGGACTGTATACCTCAAAGCCCTTCCAGCTATTAGAATCTTCCACAGTTTAGGCCTGCTGGCATGGTTCTCAAGAACCAAGATTCCCTTCCTTGCCATGATGAGACATTAAAGGAGGTCTTCAGTGGAAGGTGGTTTATATAGAAAATCCATCTTTTCCATTCAGCACATAAAATATGATGGAAAATAGAATGAAGATGATACTCTCCCCAGTTGACAAATAATGAAATTTAATTCAGACGGGAATGACTGACCTTCCATAGGAGATAATCACTCGAAAAGTTAGTAACTAGAATTATAACCTAAATTTCCTAACGCTTACATCATGTTGTCACAGTATGCTGAATTGACAAAGAACTGGACAGTTCTATTGGACTGAGCATGGATATATGATGATGATATCATCATTAGAGAAATTGTAAAGACAATTATAATTATTAGCAACAGCATCAGATGCATTTATGATGTGCCTATCTTATATTTTGGTTCTAGGTGTAATAAAAAGGTAAGTAGAAAAAGACATAGGCTCTGGCTCATATAGAGCAACTTAAAATTGTAAATAGGAAACAGAATCAAAGACATTGAAGGTACAACAATTAATGAGCATTTAATAAATGTATAGAGATATATATAAATATAGAGATTTAATAAATGTATAGAAATAAATGTACATTATACGTGAGATGAGTGTCCTTAGAGTAGTGAATGATAAGGAAATTAGGGGCTTAGAACTGTGGGAAGTCTCTATTTCTTTTCTAATTAGTGAAAGCTTTATGAAAAACTGTTATTTGAAGAATTTCTCAAGTGGTTGAAGGGTAAGAATTTGATTATTTGGTACTAGATGAATATTTCAGGCGGGAAGAAAATCATGGAAGGAGTCTTTGTGACAAGGGTAGGATTATAGTAAAGTACTGAGATGTGCCTCAAGGGAACCAGATGATTAGGCAAGGGGAAAAGAGGAAGTTCTGTAATAAGGTGAGTCTAATATAAGACTTTTAACAGCAATAGGGATCTTATTTCTTTTACTTAGGAAATTGGAAAATCTTTAAAAGGAAAGAGTTGGCAAGGTTGGCATATAAAAATTATGAAATTAAAAAAAACTTGGAATAGTTTTTAGAATCTAGTAAACACAGATTGTACTAGGAGTCAAGAGGCCAGAAAATAGGTGGCTATAGTAATCTAGTTGATATGTCTAGTGTCTGGAATATGGCAATGGTTAAAAAAAATAAAGAAGGAAATTTGGAGAGAATGTTTTAATACATTTTTAAAATGTTGTTGATATTTTGTTTTTATATCACCTACATTTTCCCATAGAATTCCTCCTCTATACTCATCCAGAAGGCTGTTTCTTATAATTTTAGGGAAAAAAAAATTATAAAAAGGAAAGAAAAAATTCAGGAAAACCAGTTCATCAAAAAAAATCTAATGTTATGTAAGTATTTCACACCTGTAGTCCCTTCTACAAAGAACCATAGGGAGGTATCATATCTCTTCTTTGGGACCCTGAGTGTCCAATATAACTTCAGAGTATTCAGTTTCAGTTCTTTTATTGTACTTTCCATTTACATTAATATAGTCGTGTAATTTGTTTTCCTCTTTCTGCTTATTTGGAAACAATTCTTGCTCCTATCTAGTCATCAATTCTTAAAAACGCAGTTATACTCCATTGCATTCACGTACCACAATTTACTTAGTCGTGCTCCAAATGATGGGCATCTTCTTTGTTTCCAGTTTTTTGCTACCACAAAAAGTGTGGCTATAAATATTTTTGTGTATATGAGGTATTTCTTTTAGTCATTTACCTCCATGCCCATGACCTATATGCCTACCCGTGGAATCTTTGGATCAGAGAGTATGGATATTTTATTAATTCTCTTTTCATAATTCTAAATTGCTTTTCAGAATGGTTGGATCAATTCCTCTCTGTAACAACAATACATAGGGGCAGTTAGGTGGCTCAGTGGATAGAGCACTGGCCCTGGAGTCAGGAGGACCTGAGTTCAAATGTGACTTTAGACGCTTGACACTTTGTAGCTGTGTGACCTTGGGCAAGTCACTTAACCCCATTGCCTAGCCCCCAAAAACAACATTACATTAGTGTGCTTATTTAAAAAATTATTTATTTATGTTTAGTTTCCAGCATTCACTTTTATAAGATTCTGAGTTCTAAATTTTCCCCCCTCCCCAAGATAACATGTAATCTCATATAGGCTATACATGTACAATCTTATTAAACATATTTCCACGTTAGTCATGTTGTGAAAGAAGAATCAGAACAAAGGGAAAAACCTCAAGAAAGAGAAAAAAAGTATGCTTCAATCTGCATTCAGACTCCATAGTTCTTTCTCTGGATGTGGATAACATTTACCATCATGAGTCTTTTGGAATTGTCTTAGATCATTGTATTGCTCAGAAAAGCTAAGTCTAACAAAGTAGGTCATTGCATAATGTTGCTGTTACTGTGTACAGTGTTCTCCTGGTTATGCTCACTTCACTCAGCATCAGTTCGTGCAAGTCTTTCCAGGTTTTTCCAAAATGCACCTGCTCACCATTTCTTATGGAACAACAGTATTATTCCATTATATTTATATACCACATTTTGTTCAGACATTCCGCAATTGATAGGCATCCCCTTAATTTCCAAATCTTTGCCACCACAAAAAGAGCTGCTATAAATATTTTTATACATGTGGGTTTTTTCCCCATTTTTATGATCTCTTTGGGATACATACTTAGTAGTGGTGTTGCTGGATCAAAGGGTGTGCACAGTTTTATAGTACTTTGGACATAGTTCCATATTGCTCTCCAGAATGGTTTGATCAGTTCACAGCTCCACCAGTGATGCATTAGCGTTCCAGTTTTTCCACATCTTCTCCAACATTTATCATTTTCCTGTTTTGTCATGTTAGCCAATCTGATAGGTTGATGTGGTACCTCAGCGTTGTTTTGTTTTGCATTTCTCTAATCAATAGTGATTTAGAGCATTTTTTCATGTGACTATAGTTAGCTTTAATTTCTTCTTCTGAAAATGCCTTTTCATATCCTTTGACCATTTATCAATTGGGGAATGACTTGTATTATAGATTTGACTCAGTTCTCTATATATTTTAGAAATGAGGCCTTTATCAGAGACACTGGCTATAAAAATTGTTTGCTAGCTTTCTGTTTCCCTCCTAATCTTGGTTGCATTGTCTTTGTGCAAAACTTTTTAATTTAATGTAATCAAAATTATCCATTTTGCATTTCATAATGTTCTCTATCTCTTGTTTGGCCATAAATTCTTCCCTTCTCCATAGATCTGACAGGTAAACTATTCCTTGCTCTCCTAATTTGCTTATAGTTTGACCCTTTATGTCTAAATCATGTACCCATTTTGACCTTCTCTTGGTATATGATGTAAAATGTTATTCTATGCCTAGTTTCTGCCTAGTGTGCCTATTCTTTCCACAACTCTTTTGACAGCTTTTATTTGGGGAAATATTAATGAGAATAATGAGATTTGGCAATTTGACTAAATATGTGGGGCAATTCCTAATGGTACATTGGTTTTATAGTAATTTAATGGCATTGCCCATTATAATGGGGAGACTGGATACAGACTAGGGACATAGAAAGAAAATGAACAGCATATAGAAGAAAGAAGATATAGATTGCTCTTGACTACTACCCACTTACCTTTAAGAACAACTACTCTGGGCCTATGGCATACACATAAATTCCCCTTCTTTCCCACCTGGAATTCCCCTTTCCTTTTTCCTCTCTGACTAGAGCTACACCAGCCCCCACAAAATCGCCCTGCTATAACTGAGCGCAGTCTGCAGTTGAAGGACTGGTAGTAGCACATTTGACTCCTCTGGATATTGAGTCACAGCAACTAGGGAGAAGAAGACTCTTTAAGCCAAAAAGCAGGACCAGGCTTCTCTCTGATGAGATGTTACCAGGCCTGGGGAAATCAGTGACTGAAATTGGAATAGCCAGCAAGATCAGTAGATAGAAAAGGGAGCTGTTGATGAAGGTTTACTTATCCTTTTCTTCCATTCATTTTCACCTTTCACAAAAAAAGCAACATTTTGGAAAAACGTCAAATTTCAATATTGTACAAATATTTGATGTCCAATAACACTGTACAAATATAGTTATAATAAAAATACTGTAAGTACAACATAGTTCTTAGATGGACTGATGAAGGTATTTATTCTTTTATCTTGGACAACAAAATTCTGTCTACACTGTTAAAAAAGTTTTAGTATGCAACATCCGGGATGAATGAAAAAGCATTTATTGAGTATTTACTATGTGCAAAGCACAATGCTAAAGTCTAAAGATATTGAATATAACCTTATTTATACAAAACCAGTTGCTCTGATGGTATTCGTATATGTGTTCTATGTTTAGCATCTAAAATGCTTGTTATTCATTAATAAGGATGACTCACTGAAAAAGTACCCTGAGTTATTCTAATTAAGCATAGATTGGGTTGTGTGACCAATAGTATTGATGTTACTAATTATCACTTAAATGAATAACAAGTCTTATCCCCTGTCAGCAAAATGAGCTAGCTGGGCAACTAATTCTTGGTGCATCCTACAACTCAATAATATATCTTCTTTTTTTTCCCCTCTCATAGAGGAGTTCTGATTATTTTTTAAATCTCTTTTTCTTTTCCTTCTGATTCTTTTATACCTTTGGCTATCCTGTTCTATCCGTACACATTACTTGGTCCAAAAATAGCTACAGAACTTTCTCATTCCTAATATGGATAGACAAAACAATCTTTGGTAAACCAGTCTTTTTGATCCACTTTATTAATTAGAGCACTAGAGAGACAAATTGTACATCATTGCCTTTCGTGACCATTCATAAATTCTTCATTTGAAATGGCCTGAGGTGTGTTGTGTCCTTCTACAGGTTAAAATGAACTAAAAGTATAGTATCTTGATATCTTCTAATTCAGAATTTGCCCTTTTGGAGGTGTACCTTGGGATTTGCTTTAAAGAGATTTTATTGTCAAAGAATACTCTTATAGTATGTAATTGTGACCACCAGTAGTGTTACAGGTATTGTATCACAAACAAGACAGATTTCAATCTTTTTACTGTTATTATGTGGTTTCTGAATGTCTTTACTAAATTAGTGTTCTGTGTGTTTTTCTTAACACAGGTGAAACTGCCAGCAATTAACTCAAGGTATGCAAGCAGGGCAGGATCTGTTGCTGGTTCCAAAGATAATGCAAGGAATAGATTTTCGTTTCCTCCTATGTAAGTCATTAGAGCAATGTTAATTTTCTTTGAATAAACTTTTGAGTCTTGAGTCTATCCTTAGCCATTTGCTTGTAATGAAACAGAGCTATTATTAATTGCTTCTCAACAACACTGTTCTTACCATGTCTCTTGACATTGGATTTTTTTGCTTTCTCGATTTTTATGTGCCATCGTTTCCAGGTGATATGCTTGCCACTCTCCTTGAACAGTGCCTGGCATAGAATTATTAGCACTTAAATGCTTGTTGGTTGATTGCTATTCATTTCTATACATCTTTTACTTTCAAAACCTGGCTGAAAATGTATTTTCTGGAATTTTTTTGTCATTAGTCCAACCACACTGTCTGCTTGTATAATGAATCTCTTCCACGCTCATGTACTTTGTTTGCAGTGTTTAAACTTGTAGTCTGTCGCTTTAAGTGTTTTGTAGATATGTGCTCTAGAATGTGACTACAGTATAAGCTATTTAAGGACTATTTTATCTTCAATTTATCTTGTACTTTTCTAGACGACCTAATTGTTATCCAATGACAGACAGATCCAGTGGTTCTCACCAGATCTGATTCAGATTGCTCCTAGTTGCTATTTGGAATCTGTACACTATCCCTTTTCCTCGTATTCACTTTCTTTTATGGCAATATTTTATATAATTTTATTTTTAAATAATTATGGAACTATTAAACACATTAATAAAAATAACTTATTAGGGAAAGAAAACATGATTTCTATAAAGGGAAGGTAATGTATTACCAGTCTATTTGAGTTCTTTGAAGGCTATAAGATGAAATTTAATAGGGATAAATGTGAAGTCTTATATGTGTGTCCTGAAAATCAGCTACTTAAGGACCAGGGAATGGGAGATATGGATGTAAAGAAAAGATTGTGGGAGGAATGTTAATTAATGTAATGCCAGGAGAGTAAGAGTCAAGTTAAGATATAGTCAGAAAATGAATAGTGATCTCAGGTTGTAGTAATAGAAGGAGAGTGTCCAGGTCTATGTGGAGTCATGGGCACCACATTTTAGCAGGGACACAGACAAACTGAAATGTGTTCAGAAGAGATCAAGCAGGATGGTGAAGGGACCACTGTGCCATACAAGGATTTCTAGAAGGAACTAGTTATGTTTAGTCTGGAGAAGAAACAATTGAAGGGATTAAGTGATAGCTGTCTTTAAATTTTTAAAGCCTTTGCCATGTGAAAGAGGGATTAGACTAGTTTTGGTTAAGTCCAGAGGGTAGGGCTAGAGTAGAATTTTTTGTCTTTGTATTCTTAGCATTGAGAAAATGCCTTGTACATAAAAGGTGCTTAGTAAATGTTTAATTGCTTTGAATTGACATTGCAGACAAGCCAATTTCAATTTGATAGCAATAAAACCTTCCTACCAATTAGAACTAACCGAAACTGTAAAGGGTTGCTTTGTAAGGTAGTTGAGTTCCCTGTCACTGGAAGTTTTCAAGGGACCATTTGTTGGGGGTCCTGAGGACTAAATGACTTCTGAGATCCATTCCAATTCTGAAAGTCTGTGACCTAATTTGTTTAGACTTTCAAAAGACCATTGACAAATTCCAATACCAAAAAGTTATTTAAAAAAAATTCAGGGGCAGCTAGGTGGTGAAGTGGATAGAGCACCAGCCCTGAAGTCAGGAGGACCTGAGTTCAAATGTGGCCTCAGACCAAACACTTGACACTTAACTAGCTATGTGACCTTGGGCAAGTCACTTAACTGCAATTGCCTAAAAACAAAATAATAATAATAATAATAAACCCTAAAATATCCATACTTACATTACCGTGGATTGCTGAAATGTTTTCATATAGGTGAGAATTGGCTTCAAGATTGGAGACAAAGGGAAGCTCAAGTTAAAATTGAGTTAAACTCAAGTTTCTGGAAAGAGAATGACTTAACCTAGGAATCAATGCTTATTTAACCATTTTTATGAATTATGTGACGAGGGAATAGGTGGCATATGGGTGATGATAAAGAGAAATATCCCCAGCTTACCTACTTTGATGGCTTTGTGATCTTTGGGCCCTCATGGCAGTAACACATATCTCAGACTGGCCATACCTTCGGAATCTGTTCAACTTGGCGTGTCCGTGTTCTCTTATGCCTACTTCAGATGAGATCTACACAGTGTCCTGTGAATCTTCCTCTCAGTTGCTTGATGTATAGCATCCCGTGGGGTGCGTAGCTGTTCGTCAGTTACCTCTCACTCACTCGTCTAACCAACCCACCCATTTTTCTCATCTTAGATTTCGCCAGGGATCTTGTGTACTCAGCTTCTTCTTGGCAGCTCTTGTTGTGGCCTATTCATGCCCACTTTTTACCTCTGCATTGCTCTTTGGTTGTTCACAACTTTAATTCTTCAGAGACTAATAGTTTATGACTCTAATTCACACAGCAATACCAGAGGAATGTTGATGTTAAAAAGATAGACTTTGCTTTTATGGAGAAGCTTGGTATCACTAAAAGCACCGTGCAGCTTCCTTAAAGGAATCCAGCCTGGTTTCATTCTCCTCTTCAGATCTGGACCTATTTTATTATGCATTTAGTGTCTACCCAACATATATGTATTAATGGACCGCCTCCATTCTATTCTGCATGTCATAATCTGGTTAATTGGCATTCTTCATCCACCTGTTTTCCCCTGTGTGGAAAAAGTAGTCAAACTCTTTTGAGTGAGTAAGGCTCTGCAGTGTTCCCAGGCTTGATACATATTTCAGTACAATTTCTACAATTCAGTACAATCAGTACAGTTTCTACAAATAGGGACATATTAAGAACCTCATTAATTATAGGGAATTCCTCTTTCATATGAACCCTACATTGGACATCTTCAATAGTGTCAAATAATTTTGGCAATCATATTTCACCATATTTAATTTTTCACTTGATATTAATAATCAGAAGATCATAAAAGTTATAGCCTTAGATTTTTTCAAGGAGTCTCATGATTTTACTTCATGCATGAGAGATACCTTGTTGGAGGAAAGCCTTAAAGTTGGAAATAAATTCTCAACAACCAATAAGCTGAGTGGGATTTTGTGTTCTATATACCTTGTGGTTATGATGTAACTAGAAAGGTGCAGTCTTCTCAAGATTGTGTCTTGCAGTGGCCCTCCTTTTCTCTTCTCATACCTTCATCAAGGATGATGTCTTCAATGCATGTGGAGACTATTCTCATAAAAGATTTTGTGGTGATAGGAAGTCAATAATGTGCTATTCAATGATTAATATTTTTAATATGATGCCTTGTTGACTTTGGATGCATGATAAAATCACTTCTGCCAAATCCTTTGTCTTTCCGTGTAGAAGCCTGTGAACCATCCTTTTATTTATCTGTAACTTTAGGAATGTTTTGTGACCTGACCACTTGAGGGAACATGCATTTCAATGAAATCATAGATCCATTTGAGTTACCAAATGAGCTATATTAGGAAGTTTAGAGTACACAGATATGAGTAACATTTATATAGTATATGTGTATAGCCACATACACACAGTAATATACACATTGCCATAATATATACACATATGTGTACATGTATATATAATATGCACATGTATACATACACATATGTGTGGACATGTGCGTATAAATATATACACACAAAAACACACAAACTTTTTGAGGTTGCTATCATGGGGAACAATCTTGCCTTTCCCTCAATCCTTAGTAGCTTTGTCATTAGAGGAAGGGTATAGGACTAGAAGTTTAATGTGACCCATGGTGGCATATTTTTGTTGTTTTTATGTTATGCTCTTCAGCTTACTTTTTAAAATTAATATGCTTCCTGTTTGCCAGGAAGCAGCAGGGCATAATGAATAGAGGTCCAGACTTGGAGTCTGGTGGATTTTCGTTCCACTTTTATCTATGACAGAGTCTGGCCCTGTGATTGTAGGCAAGTCACTTCACCTCAGGGCCTCAGTCAATTCACTAAGACTATATAAGTTACAGAAAGGTTACTGATCTTTATAAGTAAAGGGAATTTCTACCCACTGATGAAATAACAAATTTTAAATGGAAATAATCCAAAACATTTACTTGGAAATATCAACCTACTTGACTGGGAAGGAATACATTTCCTTGGTGGATATACATCATAGGGCTTTCATTTCAAGCTAAGCCAGCTTGAAATGATTTGTGGTAATGGAGGAGTAGGATCTCGAGAAACAAGGTTGAAAATGTTTTAACCAGTAACTACATCTTCCTTCTTTATAAAAGTTTTACCCGAGGAGCTAATAAGTAACAGAATTCACCACATTTTTTTCTGACGTCATGGAGAAAAACAGATTCCCTAGCTGTTCCACCTGGAACCTGAGCAGGCACCTGGGTTTCTTTTTGATGAGACAGAATCGCTTCCATTCCTCAGCCTTCAGAGCCGTCATTCAAATAATACTGAGGGCCAGTTATGTGTCCAGCTTTGTGCTTGGCACTGTGGAGGATAGACAGTCCCTACCCTCTAGGAGAACTAAATTGAGTTAAAGAGACTAATATAAGGAGCGGCTGGATGGCGCAGTGAATAGAACACTGGCCTGTTCTGGATTCTGGAGGACCTGAGTTCAAATATGGCCTCAGATACTTGACACTTACTAGCTGTGTAACCTTGGGAAAGTCACTTCAACCCATTGCCTTGCTGAAAAAAAAAAAAGAGAGACGAATATATAAAACATGACAATTCAGGATAGGAAGAGAGGGCTGGCTTACCTAGGGAAAATTGCAAATCTCCTTTTAGTGACCCCAAACTTCTTCCTGAAACAAAGACCAATCTTTATAATGCCAGCATTCTTCTGGTATCGTAGTGAAAGCAAAACAACCTGCCTGCAACAGAACATATATGGTACAGACTTCTGTTCCTTTCTGATGTATTTTCACATGGTCAAGAGAAGTACAGAGGCCCCCAAACACTGTCTTGTGCTTGCCTCACACTTTGCTGATATCTTACGTTTGATTTTGCGGCAATTAATAGTTTATGGCAGATCATCTAGAGGTGTTAGCCGTTTATGGAAGGGTGCTTCCTTATCAAAGTCTTTGTCCATTCACCACTCCATCCTTTGAGGAAGGGATTCTCTGACCAAGTCAGTTGCTAGACTTCCTGATATAGCAGTTCTCACCAGCACCAGGCCCAGTTATACTGGGAAGAACCAATACATTGGCAAATGGTACAAGAGAAAGTTAGCTAGGTGGAGTGTGAAACTCCTGTATGTAGATCACCTGTAGTCATACCAAATCTAGTATTATTACTAGAGTAATAGAATCAGTAGACGTACAAGCTAGTATAGTTTTTCAGTGTCTTCATAATTTTATTATAACATAATCTAAACCAGTTCCATTTTATGTTCAAAGAAGAAAGCTTTATGTTAATATTTCCTTTTTAATTTGACATTTATACTTAGATTTGTCTTTTTCTTCCTTTTTTTGAGGCCGGGTCACAAAAACAATGAACCAACGAACTTCACCAAACTAATTAGCAATGGTTATAAGGATGAGTGGTTACAGCATCGTGGAGATACAGGAAAAAAATCTCCACCAACATCTAAAATTTCAGAGGCATCTGCGTTATCTGTGACTACTCCATTGCATCAAGATTCAGAGGTTCCAGAAAGTGCTGAGAAACCCCAAGGTTGAGTATTTTATGCTGTATGATATCTCTGAAGTCTTTGGTTAATATTGTAGGTGGCTTTGTGGAACTTTCATATTTTGTTATGGAAGGCAATTTGAGCATCACTTTTGAAAAATGCTGCTAAGTTTCTGAGGTTGTAGGTCAAATTTAGTATCAAATATGCACATTCTTTTTAAATTGGAAAACATGATATAGATTGCTAAAGGCATAAGTAAGTGGCTTTATATTTTCTTTTGTTTGAGCTGGAAAATGTACCAGATTAGCTATCCAAAACTATTAAGATTGTCCCTTGCTGGGACTTTACAGCAAAATTAAATATAGTGTAGACTATGCAGTCGCTGTCCTAAGCACTTCAAAATATTATGTCATTTGATCAAAGCACATTGGCTGGTAATACACAACTATAGGGCTTTATTTGCTTTATTTAACCAATGAGGCTATTTTCTTAACTGGAGATGCCAAAGGGATACAACCAGAATCTGGAGAGGGTACAGGTTACAGTGACAGTCACCAGGGGACAAAGATTCAGCTAGAATTTGGAGGTTTTCTTGGGAGCAAAGGGCAGGAAGGGGGACAATGTTCCTACAAGAAGCTGCCCCTTAGGACTTCTCACATTGTTGTACCAAACTCATATCCCATCGTTGCTTCATGCGTCAGGGCAGCTCCAGGATATTGAGGTATTTTATAGGGAGGTGTAGGCATGCCTGCTTGGTCCTCCCACCTTTGGAGGTAGCTGGTAACACAGTGAATAGAGCATTGGATCCTGAGTCGAGAAGACCTGAGCTTAAATCTGACCTCAGATGCTTACTTAGCTGTATGATCCTGGGCAAGTCAATTCACCTCTGTTTGCCTCAGGTTCCTCAGCTGTCAGATGGAGACAATAATAGCACCTCTCTCATAGGATTTTTGTAAGGATCAGATGAGATACCATTTGTACAAAAACACTTAGCAGGGGCAGCTAGGTGGTGCAGTGAATAGAGCCTTGGAGTCAGGAGGACCTGAGTTCAAATCCAGCCTCAGACTCTTAACATTTACTAGCTGTGTGACCCTGGGCATATCATTTAACCTGGATTGCCTCACCAAAAAAAAAAAACCAAAGCAAAACACTTAGCACAGTGTCTGGCACAAAGTAAGCAACATAAAAAATACCTATTCCTATCTCATCCCCACTTTTGGTGTAGTGAGTAAGGAGATATCACTTGCATTGGAAATGGAAGATACTAGTGTATGAAAGGGTCCCAGTAGATTCCAGAAAAGGAAGAAAAGCCAGGAAAAGAGAGGAGTTGTTTAGAGCAGCAGAAAGAACCTATCACAAGATCAACCTTGAAAACCAGGTGTTCTGGCTAATACCATCTACATATCTGTTTTCAAGAGGAAGAAAAAGAACAGTGAACCTTAGCATTTCACCCATCCCAACCAAATTGCACAAACCAAGATTGTGGTTAACTCTTAGGAAGACTTAGTGACTTAGTCCTTTGGAGAGAACTCACTATCCTGTAACCTGTGAAATTACTGCTGCTCTACGTCTTAACCGTATTAATCAAGTATCAGAATGAACATAGGCTTATCACGCAGTCCCTCTGCAACTAAAAGATATGTTTATTCTTTTGAAAGCAGTAATTGGTTTAGTTAGAATTCTGCTTGTAATTTTGAAGTACGTATATTTTTGTAAGTGGGAACTGAGTAGAACATGAGCCTATTCCTCTCTAGCATTAACTCACTCTGTGACCTCATTTATGTTTTCTAGGACTTGTAGAGAAACAAGGTATTTTGGTAGAGCCATTTGAGATGTTTTGATGCTAAACATAGTCTCTATTTGCCGGGCCAATTATCCAGTAAAAGCTACAAGACTGAAGATGTTATCGAAGAATATTAGGAATCCCGTTTTTAGTGGATCTCTTTTAGAAGACAGGTCGAGATACTAGTGAACAGCAATCATTAGCAGTAGTCACAAGGATCAGCATTGTGTCTCAGCATCAAATCAGCCTTGCCACTGGTTCTGGTTTTATTTTGTACTTCAGTTCCAGTAACTATATTCTTGCATTGTTTGTTTCAACCTGCCCCTTACCTAGTTCACTATTTCTTGCTCTCCAGTACTGTATTCTAGAGTTTCTCTCCCTCCCTCAGTTTCCATGAGGACCCTGCCCGTAGATTCTGAGTCCCCTTGCCAGGTTCCTGCTGTGGCTGCTATATTTGCCTGGTTTCCTATCACTTACATTTACCTCCACCTGGATCCTGTTGTCAGAATCTGATGTACCTATCTGCTGGAGAATCTGGCCATTATCTATCTTGCCACTTTTCCTGAGGCTGACTATCCTTTTATTTGAACTTCATTTTGCTGTGGGATGCTAGAATTCTTCCTTACTGATCACAGAAAGCCTCTAGTTTCCATGTCCCAGTGAGCCACCAAATTACAGCCCATTGGTTTTATTATTTATCTTTTTTATCCTTATCATTGCTAATCACATTGGAAAGGTTCTTTCTCTGCCACTTTCTTCCCCTTCTTTCTTGATTTGGAATCATTCTAATTGGTTGGGGTTGCCATAAGACTGGTCTCAGAAAACTAAGGTATTACTATACTTTGAATAGGGGCTGTAGTAATAGAAATATCAAATTGCATGAGTAAACCAAGCAAGAAAAACCCACAAAACAGTGGACTCAATAACATTTCTGAAATGTACAAGCTTTGAGAACTCTGACTAGAAGAACCTGAGGCAGGAAAACTAGGTCCTATCTGATCAGGTTCTGTTTAACTCAAATTGGAGAGAAACTTAAACTTGCATTGTTTATTCTATGCCTCTTTTCGAGGTGTATTGTTACTGCTTTTGATTTTGAACAGCCCTAAATAGTTCTTTGAACTTTGACTGGGCACGGATTTCACTCATCATCATGAAAATTGCTTGAGCTTTGGAACTCAAACCCTCATTAGTACCCTGAGGTGCTTCTGCCCCTTTGATTGGAAGCATGCAGGATGGAACAAAAAACTCCTCCCATAGCCTCCCGTTGTGGAGGATTCAAAATCCCATCTTTCTCTTCATTTGCTGCCAGTTATTCTGCTTGGTTTTGACTCCAACATCATCATGGCACCCCTTACCCTCGGGAGGCCCCCCCATCCCTTTTTATCTTCTTTTTGTGTATTGTCTTCTTTTATTCCATTGTAAGCTCCTTGAGGTCAGTGATTATCTTTCTTTACCTTATTTGTATCCCCAATGCTTAGCAGCAAGCCTAGCACATCGTAAATGCTTAATGAATGTTCATCATATCATGTCATATTGATATTGATAGGCAGGATTCCAAAAATATACCACAGCACACATAATTAGGGTTAGAGTGGGTGAATTTTGCTTTCTTGGCTAAGAGTACTCTAATTTTGTGCAAATTTTAGGCAGTATTTATAAACATGTAGTTAAACATAATAGTAATAGAACTGTTACTTTACCTCATTTTACTTTTAAGAAAATGGATGCTATGCTGTAATTGTACTTTTAATTGATTAACATATATTTACATCTTTTCATTTCTTTCATTGCAGATACATCATTATCTGAGTCTGGAGAAACACCAAAGGAACTCAAATGAAATCTATAGCTAATATTTTAGATATTTTTTAAAATGCAAAATGTAATGATACTGTGAGCAACTATATTTATAAAACTTTTATTATTGCCTTATATTGAACTAGATTTTTAAGAGATTATCTATCTTGCAGTGCAATTTTACATTCCTGCAGTATAGATCATGTATTTTTCTTACTTTGTTTCATTTTTCTGGATGGTAACATAAAGGTCAAGAAATTAAACTAGGACCTTTTTGTTACCTCTTTTTCTGCTGAACTGGTGATTTCCCCACATCATTGATACCAATTATTTTTTCCCCTGAATAATACAATAGGACATATCAGCTATTGCTCGAACTACTATTTGGTGGCATTTCTGCTGAAATAGACTGTTGAGACTCTAATAGCCTATAAGTTATAGTATTGAAAGTAAAACGATCTTAATAAAACAAGTATAAGATGATATACAAGTTCTACTTGGTACTTTAATTCCTCTTAGAAACAATTTTATATGTCTTTTGAAAGTTATATATTCAGACTGTCTAATATATTTAATACTAGAATATTATGCTATTGGTTCATGTTAAGTAAAGTTTTGTTAATTGTATCTGCTTTGAAAGTTATTCAACATTTAATATAAGAATATTATAATGTTCACTTAAGTTAAAAAGTTTTGTTAATATCTTTTCTATATAATCGAAAATGTAGAATATAAAGTATTTAGTACCAGAATGTTGATTACTTTAAGCAAAATTGTTTCATTTTAATATTGGTGATATAATTGACAAGTCTTGCTAGAAAAAAAAAATCTCACAATAATCACAGTGTTATTCCTCACTATGAATTTTGCATTATGAATTTCATTTTAAGTAAACTTATATTAGGATGTACTGATATAATTTGAATTTGATTCACAAATGAATTTCTGGTTTTCTATATTAAGAATTTTAGAAACTCTAGATTTTCAAATGTTATAGTTTTTCTGTGAAATTAACTTATCATGCACTTGCTCATTTAAAATTAAATCTTCAAAATTAATTACTTAAATGAAGCATTTATTTGAGCCATGAACATTTGACAATTTGAATTGATAATATTGTGGGAGACATAAAAATTGAAGTATTCTTCAGGAGAATATAAGTGAAATAAGTGAGAATTGTAATGAGAACATTTGTTTCTACTACCTGAATTTAGAGGTAATAGGAATGGGGATAAAAATGAATGACCAAAAACTTTTATATCAGAATTAATATGGTCTTTTATTTCTTAAAAGACTTAGATTTTTCATGATTTAAAAAAATCCCTGATTTACTGATGTGGTTACTTCTTCCATCAACCTAGATCACAGGGACAGTATGCTGTTATGAAAGAAGGCTAGATTTAGAGTCAAAGGATTCTGCCCGATTGCCCAAGTACTTTACCTCTTTAGGTCTCAGCTTCCTCATTTGTAAAATTAGTGAGTTGAACTAGATTATTTCTAAGGCCCCTTCTAAATTCTATGATCTAAGTTCTAAATCTATGATCCTGTCATCTGCTCCATGTCTTAGTCAACTGTATCAGTTGTTGTGATCAGTCTGGTGGATGATAAGTCTTGCTGAACTTAGCAAAGCTGGTCCTCAGATGACAAACTAAAAGATCTTTGTAGGTTCATATAACCAGTCAGAATTTGTTCATTTCTTGCATAATCACAGATATCTTCACCACAGTGAACCTGAGAGAAGCCAGTATCCCAAGAAAAGCCAGGAACATGAATTTTTAAAAAATAATTATTATTGATAAAATGTTCTTATTTATTGACAGACATATCCCTTCCTCTCTCTCCTTTCCACAGAATCATGCCTTCCAACAAAGAACAAAAAGGAGGGAAAAATCTTTTATAGCGCAAAAAAAGCTTACCTACATATCAGCAGAGTCTGAAAATATATTTAATATTCCACACTCATAGTCTTCCATCTCTTCTTTAGAGCCTAACTTGAACATTATATTTACATAACATTCTATTTTGTTTATTTATTTGCATGTTGTCTCCCTCATTAAAATGTGAGCTCCTTGTAGGCAGTGACTATTTTTGCCTTTGTGTTTCCAGCTCTTATTGTGGTGCCCAGCACATAGTAAGTACTTAATAAATGCTTGTTGACTTGAAAACTAAGTTAATCAATCAAGTATTTATTAAGCTCCTACTTTGGTTCCAGGAACTTTGCTAGGTACTAGGGATACAAGTATAAAGAATGAAATATTCCCTACTCGTAATCAGTCTGCATACTACTAGGGGAGGCGGCAAATACATATGTAAATATATAGCAGATATATAAAGTGAATAAATACATTTTATACACACACACACACACACACACCCATATTACACACAAGGTAGTTTAGGAGGGAAGGCGTAATGTAGAAGATGGTGCCAGAGCTGCATCTTAAAGGAATAGAGGGATTCTTTTATATGAAGATAAGAGATTGCATTTTAGGCAGGGGGACGGCCAGTGCAAAGGCATCAAGATGGAAGATGGTGTATCATGAATGAGGAATAGAGAGAAGGATAGTTTGGCTGGATTGCAGTGTTGGAGTGGGAATAATGTCTAATGATGCTGGAAAGATAGTTTGGGTCCAGCTTCTGAAAGCCTTTAAAAGCTAAACAGGAGTTTATATTTGATCCTAGAGACAATGGGAAGCCTGGAATTAATCACGTAGGATATTGGCATAGTCAGATTGGCTCTTAAGGAAAGTTACTTTGGCAGCAATATGTTGGATGGACTGGACTGATGAGAGATTTGAGGTGGGGAGACCAATTAGGAAGGTGTTGCAGTAATCTATTTAAGAAGTGATGAGGGCCTGCACTAAGGTGTGACTGGAGAGAAGAGGTTGGATATGAGAGATGTTATGAAGGATAGAAATGGCAAGATTGGTGATCGAGTGGGTATGTAGCATGAGGAAGAACAGATAATGCCAAATTAAACTTAAAAGATAATGGTACCTTCAAGAGTCATAGGAAGTTTGGAAGAGGGAGGGTGTAGGGAGAATGACAGTGAGTTCAGTTTTAGATATGTTGAGTTTAAAGATGGCTCCCAGACATCCAGTTTGAAATGTTCAATAAGCAACTGGTGATCTGGGAATAAAGATATCTAAATTGTATGTGTGTGTGTGATATGAGCCTTTAAAGGAGACTGAGGAGTGATCAGACAGGTAGAAAGTAAATCAGGAAAGAGTAATGTCATGAAGTCCCAGAGAGGAAAAAGCATGCATAAACAGAAAGTGGTTAACAGCATCAAATACAATAGACAGGTTGAGGGATTTGGCCAAAGAAAAGACTGGATAATTTCATCCTTGAAAAGCTGAGGAACCAACATGGGTAAATTCTTTTCTGGATGTAATCCACACCAACCAGGAGGATGAGGATTTGGAAATGATGGGGGAGTCACTGAGAAAAGTGATCACTGAATCTTAAGAATTTGTGACAGAGGAAGAGTGTAAAGCTAGACATAATCTAACGTGCAGATTTTGGGAGAATAGATTTCAAAGGGTTCTAGAGGAAAAATGGATAGAGTCCTACAGAATAAAATACTACAAGGGAAGTCAGGCTTGAAGTGCTGGAAAGCATCAATGATTTAAATTCTGAAGACACAAAAAACAGTTCCAAGGAGATGGAATTATTTGAAGAAATCAATATGGGTGCACTGGGAACTCCCCAATCTAATGAATTCAGATTTTTGAAAGACATCTACATTAAAAATTCCCTATACCAATGAAACCCCAACATAAGACAAAATACCTGCACACAACAGTGTAAGCACTTAAGTTTTATGGGGGTAGGGGTGCAGACTATCCTGCCAACTCTGCCAGTTGTAAGGAGGAGGCTGATTTGTCCTGCCCTGATATGCCAATTGTAGGGATACAGACCCTCCAGGAGAATATTGAGATACCAAAGAAAGAGAGGCCCATACCAGCTTGGTAGTAAATAGGTTTTATTAGGATTAATGGGGTAGTTTACTCATGAGACCCAGTCCTTGGTGGCAAGAGGACAGAATGGTGGATCCCTGCACCAATCCCAGGTCGTGACAGGTCTTGTTTAGAAATGAAACAAAGAAGGCATATTGCCAGGGATGGCCCATGGTCAAGTGCAAGTGTCCCCATGAAATAGTTGGAGCTTCTTTTGCTGTTAACATTTACTCAAAGTAGTTTACATTAACTCTGAGACTTGAGATCATGTTCCCAGGTTCATCTACCACTGTACAAACGGTAGGGGAAATCTCTTACCATTGGGGTCAGCCAAAATATATACTCCAAATCCTCTGCAGATCAATTTAGGCATGCCAATTATAATGATACTCTGCATAAAAATCAAGGATGCAGGGTATAGTTTCTACTACAAATAAAGAGGGACTACCTTGAGAAATTATTCAAAATCTTATCAGAAGGAAGCCTAGGAATTGTCACACCTGTTCCATGTCACCTGGCATCATAGGATTTTATAACAAGGCAGTAAAGCTCTTGGAGTGGTAGCATATTTACCTGTAAAATAGAGATATCCACCTATTTCATATGATGGTTGTGAAAACAGTGTTTTGTAAAAAGATGAGTACTATGTAAATGTGAATTACCATTATTACTAATGTCCAGATGGTCATTGGGAAAATACCTCAAGATCCTGCAATATTTGAAGTACTTGTCATAGGAGGCTGAGAGTGCAAGTCAGAAGGCCCTACGGTTATGGCCCACTAATACTTAGTAAAAAAAAAAAAAAAGCCTTTCACAAAAGCCTCTTATAATGCCTATTGCTGAAGCTGTTGAGGCCATGCTACATTCTTCAAGATTGTAGTGATCATCCAGTTAATTTTGCTGGGAGCTGGGTTATAATTGTGCAATCTAGCTCCTTCATTGAAAAATTCCCACCCATCAATCGCAAAAACAGAAAGCTGGGGGAAAAAAATACCCTCTTAGGAAGGAACTGGTTACTATTACAAGCAACCAGTGTCATGTTAGACCTAGCTTGACTACAGGAAGTTGGTATTGCTTTTCTGAGAGTGTTTCCATGAAGATGAGAAGGAAGCAGAAGAACGATATTCCATTTTGTGTATCCAGTGAATGTACCAATCAACTTGAAAATTAGATACATACATTTTGCTTTAAAGAAAAATATTAGAGAATTTGAATCAAGGTGAAGTAGGACCAATGACATCAGGAAGGTGATGTCTTGACTTGCAAGTGAATTGGATTTAAGTGAGGCAGGGCTGTGCAAAGTTACCAGCTGTACTGTCTCCTTCAGAGCCATCTGGGTCCAGTTGATGGGGTTGGGATCCAGACCCCAGAAAGGAAAAACCCTGGACTTTCTCACATGGCCAGATCTCTAGCATTCCCCTGAGGCTATAATCCCATCAATTGGCCTTTCATTGTGGCTACACCCAGTCTCCCAATTCTCTGTTACCGTTAACGTAGCCTAGCCCTCCATTGTCTTACTGATGAGG